ATCTTAACAGCTGAGAAAACAGGAAGATGAACAAGAAAAAAAGAAATGTGAAGATGTACCTTTTAGGCTTATGATCACTGACAACTAAGACAGAAATAATCATAATTCTGCCTTATCTACCATTATTTATCTACATCAGGGAACAGGCTCCACTACCTCCCAAGAATTGGAGTAGGTGCTCAAATTTGCAGTAATTTCAAATCAAGTGCAGCAGTAGCATTTATTATTTCTTTAACTTTCCATCCCCACCTTTTAGCAGCCAAGAGACTGCCTCCTTGAAAAATACTGCTGAGTGGGCGTATAAAACCAACCGTAGAGGGATCCCACAAAGCTTGTGGGTCTGTGTAAATGAATTCCAACATCTTCTTTTCTATAACTAAGAAGAAAGGGGGAAAAATAAACCAAACTCTCTTGTATTTGCTGTAGTTTGGCAAGGGTAATATGTGTGTGACATACTTTTACCCTTGAAATACAAAAGTACTTTTGAAATTGGTCAGAACCTTATTGAATTTAACCAATGATTGATGGAAGGTTATAATATACTCTGCCTCATGCAGACTCTATGGAAACCTCTAGCTGAAAATATTTGGGAAATTCCTCTCTAATAAGAAGAATCCTTTAGGCCAAGCTTTAAAGGGTCGCAATATTTGGATTCTAAAATTAAATGGAATTTCTATGGCAGAAATGGTACAGCATTACAAAAAACAAGAAAATCTTAATATTGTTTCACTAAGATGTTTTCAATGTAATGTGTCTGTGATATATTTACAGTTTTATATTGTTCCCCACTTTGCTTTATATATTTTTTTCTCTTTCTTTTGCCAGGATTCTATTCTATTTTAATCACTAGAGCTACTCTTGGATTTGCTAGTTCACTGAGTGAAGTTTCAGCCTACTTCTCTTAAGTAATCATCAGAAAGGCTATTACAATGTAAGGTACAAATGGCATAAAATCAGCATGACTCAGTAGAAATAATGAGAATTGAGGGTTAGATTCTAGTAACAGTTCTGTTTTCTTACTTTCGTGACCTTGAAGAAGTCATTTAATCTTTTAAAATCTCAGTTGTCTCAACTGGAAATTGAAAGGATTGAATGAAGTGATCTCTGAATTTCTCTTCAGCTATCATCCTCTAAAATGTTTGAGATATCCCTGCAAAAATTAGCTAGATGTTTTGAAAAACCTTGTCATGTTCTTGATGCCTACAACAGATTGCAGACGGTACAGAAAAAATGCTCAGCATTCAGATTAGCTGGCTGGCTCCAGTAAAATAGCTATCACAAACACTTATCTTTCAGACTGTACAATTTTTTACCATTGAAAGGACTGGACTAAATTTTAATTTAGTAACACCTGTGAGGAAAAGACTTTCTAGCCAAATTAACCAGGTAAAGAATATTTACAGGAGAAAGACTTACACACAAAGATAAGACACCATCAAATAGTTGGGGGGGAAAAAGGTGCTTGTTTCTTTAAAGGAAATCTTTTTGTGGGAAGGTTTTTAATAAACTCAATTTCCTACATAGACATGGCTGATTCAGATTTTCTATTTATTCCTGTGTTGTCTGTATAATTCCTGTGTAATTCTGATATGTTGTCTTTCTTCCAAGAATTTGCCCACTTCACCTTAATTGTTGAATGTGGTAGGCATGAAAGTATTAATGTAGTCCCTCATCCTTTCTGTGTCTATAGGATATTTAGTTGTGCCAACTCTTTTATTATTAGTATTGTCAATTTGTGCTTTATCTCTTTGTTTTCTTAATCAGTTTTTTTAGGAACTTACAAATTTTATTTTTTCAAAGGACCAACTTTGGCTTTGTTAATTTGCTTTTTTTTTCTCTGTTTTCTATTTCATTGTTTTCTGTTCTTATCTTTATAGTGAAGGTTACATGTACAGTTTAAAAGAATGGACATTCTACAGTGGATAAATAAAATCTATAAATGTCAGTTAGGTCAAATTAGTTGGTGGCCTGTTCAAATCTGCTATACAATGATCATTTTTACTGATTTTCCTATCCATTACTAAAAGAGGCAAGGAAAAAATTTCTAACCATAATTATGCAGTTCTCCATTTTATTCTTTAATCCTGTCTCTTTTTGTTTTATTTATGTTGAAGCTCTATTACTAAAGCATACACTTCAGGATTCCAATGAATTTACCCTTTTAAAATTATGAATTATCCTCTTTATCTCTGGAAAGAGTCCCTGAAGTCTACTTTGATGTTAATATAGGTACTCCAGCACTCTTCCACTAGCTTTTTTTACATTGTTTATTTTTTTCTTTCCTTTTACTTTCAATTTGTGTTTTAATATTCATCCCTTAAGACAGCAGAGAATTGGGGCCTGCTTCTTCATCTAGCCTGACAAACTCTTCCTTTTAACTGTAATGCTTATTCTGTATTTTTAATATAAATGTTGGTACAGTTGGGTTTAAGTCTACCATTTTTCCATTTGTTTTTTTTTTTCACCCCACACGTTCCCCTTTTCCTGTCGTCTTTTGCATTAACCAAATAGTTTTTGGTATCCCATTTTAGTTTTTATTTTACCTTTTAGGTTTATCTTTTTATATTAGTGGGTGCTTTGGGAATGCATTCTTCTCACACACTACTTATAATTAATGCCACTACACATAAAATGAAAGAATCTTGCAAGAGCATAACTCCATTCTTTTGCAATTATTGTCATATATATTTGCATCCACCTAACTTACAAGTACTGTAATAATGCTATCATTTTGCCTTAGTCAATTTGAAATTAGAAAAAATATTTCTATATTGATTAACATGCATTTTCTCTCTTCTGTGTTATTTATTTCTTCTTGTAGGTTCAAATTTCCATGAAGTGTCATTTCCTTTCAGCATGAAGAACTCCCTTTTCAACATTTGTGAAGTGTAGATCCAGTGGCAATAAATTCTCATTTCTTGAATTTAGATGAAAATTTAGTTTTTCATCCCCAATGCTGTGGGATAGTTTCACGAGATATAGAATTATCAGTTAACTGTTTTTCTTTCAGCACTTTAAATATATAATTTCATTGCCTTCTGGCCTCCATCATTTTGAATGAGAAGACATCCATCATCCTTAGAATTGTAACTCTTGCACAGTATATACTTTTTTCCCTCTGCTTATTCCCAAGACTTTTTCTTTGCCTTTGATTCTCAACTCATTGACTATGATGTGTGTACATGTGGTTTTTCTTATATTTACCTTGCTTAGACGTGATGATCCTAGATATGTAAAAATGTTTTACATTAAATTTGGGAAAAATTCAGCCATTATTTCTTCAACTACTTTTTCTGCCTCATTCTATTTCTCTTCTCTTTCTGAGACTCCAGTTTACACTGATATTACCACTTGATATTAGCTTACAGATCAGTCAGGCTATGTTCATTTTCTCTCAATTACAGTTTCCTTTTCTTCAAATTAGTCTCTATTGATCTACAAGTTTACTGACCTTTTCTACTGCCATCTTTAATATGTTGTCCAACCTATCCAGTGAAATTTTCCTATCAGATATTGTATTTCTCATTTCTAGAATTTTAATTAAAGAACCTAGGCTTGAATCTAGCTCCATCACCAACTAGCTGGATGACCTTAAGCGGGAAACCTGAGTTTCTCAGTTTTATCAGCAAAATGGTGATCATAAGAATACTTACATCATTGTGGTGTTATGGGAGGGAAATGAAAATTCATAATACAAATTCAAGTACATAATAAACACAGAATAAGTGCTATTACTACATTTGTTATGAGAGTAGCTGTTAGATAATATCCAATCTTAAATTAGGTATATACTTATCATATATTTAAATAATTGCATCGTTTCATATTATATTTGGCCTAGATTTGCCATGTAGTGTAACTCCATGACACATGAACCTTAGAGTGGGATATATTTTGGAATTTAGAAATTTTCTCAAATTCTAGGAAATTAAAGTAGTGTGTATACCATACATTACATAATATCCAAGCAGGGTCTGAGTCAGTGTCCTGTCATCAAACTAGTATTACTCATTATAATAATTAGTATTATTATAATTATCCTGTCATAATTAGTATTACTTAGCTAATAAAATTAATGTTAGTATGTAGGCAAACATGAATATTCACACTAAGTAGAGAGAGTAAAGACTATGAATAATCATAACCATATGTCACTTCAGGTCAGGTTTTGACACTAAGAGTTTAGCACCACCTTAGGTGACATCAACTTTCAGTTTCTGGAGCTTTCTGAATTTTGGAATTGTGGGTAAGAGATTACAGACCATGAACCACATATTTTGAGTAACTGAGAGGAGGAATGAAGAAGGATGTCAGGTAAGAGATGGTAACTTGAAAAATATATTTAAATAAACAAACTTGTATTTACTAGGGAGTTAGATTTCCAAAGAGCTCCTTCTGACAGACCTCAGTCTCTAAGGCTTACCCTTTTGTTAAAATGCATCTACATGGACTGGCATGGTGCTTTGCATCTCACCAGTACAAAAACAATATTTGCTAAATTAACAAATGAATGAATTACCAGTCACTAAGAAAACACAAGGGTGAAAACCCCTTTTTGGAAACTTCACTGTTAACTTTCTGCAATCCATTCTTTCCATCTCAACAATACAATCTATCTCATAAAGTTGGTGGTTTTTACAAAAGTTTGTGAATCTATGTTTTTTATTCTAAGAATCCCTCATAGAGTCACTAAAAGGCATGCTTTTACAACAGTTTCTAATGAACAAATAGCTGAAATACAACAGTGCTGTTAACACTGCTTTTGCTAGCTACTACATAATAATTTCAGCTGAGTCTACTGAATGATCATTAATACTCTAAAAAATTAATAAGAATTTTTTCTCCTTACTTCAGGCAAATTAAATGGGAATATTGAAAAAGATATGTTAAAAACTTGAACTTTAAACAACCAACATTTCTTTAGACCTAGATATTTAAGTCAGGACAAAACTAAAACAAAGCACATTAATTTATACTTTTCTGATATATAAAAGCCGTACTTGAATTGTGGCTTCAGTTCTAGCTTGATAGGCTGTTGCTCTTTTTTCATAAAGGTTTTCTAGAAAGAAGAGTTGATATAAGTAAGAAAACAACTTCATAGCCTATAAAATTTTAATTCCACTGATGTTCTATCAAAGGGACAAAGAACTATTCCATTATAATATATATTAAAACCTAAACACTGACATAAGTTTGTAGGTACACTCAGAGGAGTATCATCACTGAACCCCCTCCAATAACTCTGGCACTCAGGAATGCGATTCCTGCCGATCATTTCACTGAGCAAATAACCATATAAATCTATTACTGATGAGAATTCTTCTATGTACTTACTCATTCGTCCTTTGACCTTTAAAAATGACTTAAGGTAGCTTACAAAAAATAAAGTACATGTGAAAAAGGAAAATAAGAAAATCAGGTTAAAGTGAAAATACAGAAAAATGTCAAATGTTTTCTGATATTGTCTGATGTTATCACATGTGTTTAGTTCTCAAATTCCTCAATATCAAATGTGTGGACTGAATGGTGCTCCCTCAAAATTTATATGGTGAAGCCCTAATCCCCAACATGACTATATTTGGAGATAAGACTCTCCAGGAGGTGGTTAAGGTTCAAGTAGGTCATAAAGGTAAGACCTTAATCCAGTAGGACCGGTAGCCTTACAAGAAAAGGGAGAGAAGCCAGGAGCATTTGTGCACAGAGCAAAGCCAGGCAGGGACGGAGCATGAAACAGCCCTCCAGAAGTCCAGGAGAGAGGCCTGTGGGGACACCAAATCAGCCAGTATCTTGATCTTGGACTTGAACCTCTGGAACTGTGAGAAAAGTGATTTCTGTTGGATAAGCCAACCAGTCTGTGGTATTCTATTATGGCAGGCCTGGCAAGCTAATAACACAAACTAACAAAGAAAACACAGATGCTCTAACATTCACAATGTCTATAAGAGAAACAAACTTATCTTCTGTGAAAAATTTCTTCCATGAGTCCTTCAGAAGAAGCCTGGTATAATGTAATGGTCAGATTCAACAGCATCTCTTCAACAATTACACTAGAGTATTTAACATAGGTTTTATATACAATCCTTCAGTATCAGTCAATAGTAGAAAGAACTCAGGATGATAATTCTACCAGACCTCAGAATAACTGGGCTACTGCATGTCAGGTCATTTGACAGGATCCAAAGGTTAAAGTGATACCAAGAGGCATTGATGGGTTGTATATCCATTTTATCATCTGCTACGACAATTATTTTACAAAATAGCTTTTGAAAAAATGGTCTCAGATAAGAGGAATTTGAGGTAGTCTTGCTAAATGATAGAAGGTTAATGATTTTGGATTGTTGTATTTTCTCCCCTCTCAGGCTCTGTAAAAAGTCAGTGACAGAAAGTGTCTTGGCTGTTGGCATATGGCACGCTCATGAATACCACAAGGAAAATGCTTATTTTAAGTAGTTTTTGAAGTTTCAAATATGTATTTAACCCTATTTGACACCTGAAGCCAAAGAAGTCTCATAAAAAGTCCCAGAATATATACACAGAATAATGTAAAGATGAAATCTGGAAGAAAGTTGTGTTTATACTGCAGAAATACTCAGTAGTATGACACAGAGTGATTGTTTTAAATATTTTAAGCAAATCATAAATCTCTCCTTTATAGTTAAGCTTCACTCTCTTATAGTGCTCTTCTAGGTGCAATCTAACTTACATATGTTGATTTGTATTTGATGACTTTCACTTTTTAAGAAGGAAGATGAACTCTTCTTCTATAGTCATGTTAGAATGCAACAATAACCTTAGAATTAGTTTGCATCATCTCTCAACTATTTGTTACTTTTAGAATTCCCTGATCATGTTCTCTTTTTTAAAATAAACCATCCTAAAGAATAAAACCATACTTTCAAAAAATTTATGTGCAACATGTAGATGATAATAAAACATGAAGCAGGACCTGTATTTTAAATATTGTCCCCAAGATGTTCCATGTCACATATCCATGACTATAAAAACACTAATAGCTACAAAAATTAACTTTTTAACCAATATTCTCTGTACTTTTGTACAAAATAATGTGTTTGGCTTGAAACACACTGTCCTTCTGTGATATTACTATTGACATGTGCCAACTTAATTTTTTTAAACAGCTTCCTTCATAGCCAGACTAACTGAATTGGCATGTTCTCCTTTATGAAGGGTGTCGAATGTGAAAGCTGCTAAGTAAAACAGTCCCAGATGAACAGTCTTGAGGATTTTCCTTACTAAGATGTTCTGTGATTCTTTTTCCAGTTACTTTCTCCCAACTTCATTGCCTTCACTAAATCCATTGTGCTTCGTTTCCTACCTAACATAATTAGAAATCAGTTTCCTTTGGTCTCCTTTTTGCAAAGTCAATTACAGTCCTTTTTTAAGGGGTCCTGGATTTTTTTTCTAAATCATAATTTGCTACATATTTATATATTCAAATCTCAAGTTAATTCTGCCTTAATGTTACAACTCCATTCTCTCTCAAAATCTTTCCTCTTTCCACAGCTGCTGCCTGCCTGCTTCTTTAAATTTCTTCAAGCTCCTAGTCTCTCCACAACAATGCATTTGGAGTAACACATTCTAAAATATCCCTAGCTGAAGATGCAGCAATTTATTAAACCCTCAAGTCAAAATTTCCAAACCATTTTTCGGATTCCTGTCCCCTACATATTTCCTCAAATCCTAACAGTTTAACTGGTACCAAGCTTACTTCTGATCATTTACACAGTATTATTACATCTCAAGCTTCTTTCTAGAAGCAGCTGTCTAATCCATCAATTCCCCCCTCTTCTTTCCAAATCTCTTCTGGAATATTTTTTTTCCTTTTGACAATGTTGCTTATTTCTCTCATAGTCTAATGATTAAATTCTTGATTTCCATTTTTTTGGAAATAAATTCTTGATTTCCAAAAGCCTTCCATTTTGCTAGACATATTTCTATATTAATACTAGTAGTGTGAAATTTTGGAATATGTTTGCTTTAAAAAGGTAATCTGTAACTGGCATATTATACCCCTAATACTTGCCCCCCAACTACTGTTAGAAGGTATTTTCTAGGTAGCAAAGAATTCTCATGTTTTAAACAGCTTTGTGACCCTACCAGAAGCATATATAAACACACCATTAAAGGAAAATTATAAGGTTTGCTTAATAATAGGTGACTGTGAAGAGAAGATCATTAATAGCATATACATATACAATTATAAATTGCACATCAAAACATGTGAAATAAACTGAAAAGATTTTTCTGCCAGGCTTGAATATTATACTTGTGTTTCCCCAGCAGAAGTCACTCATGTCACTAGCACCTTCTGTGAAACAGCAGTGAGCTGCATTCCTTCAACTGCTACTGCTTCTTGTATAAAAAATGGGTTAAACAGAAAAATGTCAATAACTTGCACACATGTAGAACCAAAAGCCACAAAACACATCAGTCTAGGATTTTTCATAAGTCAGTATCTTGCGTTACTCAATATAGAGCTTCCAAGAATGCACACAAAGCATAGGAGTATTCTGAAGCCTTACATCCCCAGGAAGTTGAGACAAGCCTTACATCCTCAGGAAACCCAGTTTCCCCAGATCCTCTCACCGGGACAAAGAAGCCTCCACTTTGTAAGGAATTCTCAAGTGTGGTATTTCCTTTCGTTTTTCTTAAGAGAAGTAGAAAGATCGTGAAGGTAATGCTAGCCACTCTGTGATGGTCATGGCCTCAAAAAGCCATTCAAATTTCAGATGAGTACACTGAAGCCAGCAAAAGATAGGTTGTTCATTTGCCAGTCACTAGACAAAGTTTCTTTAACCTCCAAGGGAAATCAAAACTATAGGAATTTGCTTTTTTAAATGTGCAAATTTGAGCATAACATAGGGGGCAATAAAAAGACTGACAAGAAGGTGGGAGCTGGATAGAGAAGCTTACATCCCAATGTTAAGTCCCTCTGAGGGCTGAAATCTATTTGTAAAAGATATAATAGGGCTGCTGCTTCCAGGAATATCTTCATAGTAACAAATCACAACATAGCACTACAATGACTTCTAAACACAAAAAATAAAAGATATTTTAATACACATCTAACCTGATGGGGAAGTAACAGAATTCCTTTCCAGTCCAAAACAACAGGAAACGTTGACTTTGCTGTTGTATGAGTTCTGGAACTTGTCCCTTACTGTGGGGATTGAGTGGAAATTCCTGACAACCTAGAGCCTGGGTTTTAAGAAGCTGCATGCCCTGCAGTTGGGACACAAGCACTGGAATCCACAGCATGAAGGAATGTCAGAGTTGAGAATACCCTTCACAAAAGCTGGGTACTGGAATTACAATATCCTTACAGTATAAACCAGGATTTGAAATTTTCCCTGAAGAGAGAAAGCAAAAGAGACACTGTGTGACCTCATGTCTGTCATGAACTTGGCTCTGGGATTCTGATGACAAGACCTCATTCACATGGATTTGGGCCTCAATTCACTTTACATGCAATGCCCACAATTACCCCCACACACACCAAAAGAAAGGCAAAAAATTTAGAATAAACTGGCCCCAGGTTAGTAGTGCTCTAAAGCACCTGGTAAAAGCAAATACTAATCATTTCTAGGAGAATGCAGCTTAAAATCAGGTTTCAAAGAATTCTCATAATAAAATGCCAAAAAAATGAGCTCACAATTTAAACAGTCATTAAACATGAGAAAATAAAGTCAAGAAACAAGCTACATATTCAGAACCACAAAGGCTGCAATACTATAAAGTATACAGAATATAGAATAAGATTAAGCTCCTATATGTTTTCAGGAATATATTGAAGGAACCAAAAATTATCAAAATTGTCCATGATTTGGAAAATACAACTGTATGATGTTCTTAAAAAATAATGGTAGCCTAGAAACATGTGAAAAAATTGTCACCTTTGTCATTAGGAAAATGCAAATTAAAATCACAAATATTTCATACCCACTCAATTGGAAAAGGTTAAAATTTTCACATATCATTTTGCCAAGTATACAAAATAATAGGGACTCTCATAAATTGTTGGTGATAATGGAAAACTGCTATTGCTTGGTAAAATTAAATATATGCCCACTGGCCTGCCCAGCCATTCTACTCCAGGATGCTTATAGCTAGACAATCAATTATTTAGTAAGTCAAAAACTAGTTATTGAGCTTCCACTGTCCAGGTCCTGCCCACCTGCCTCCAGGTCTGAAAAAATAATATTCTGACATCTATGTAACCATTCTCAATGCTACAAGATGTAGGTTGGTATTGAATTCTTGACCTAGAGAAACTCCTGTGTCTATACTTTACTGAAGACATTATAAAAGAATGTAGCATAATTGTTCATAATAGGAAATATTCTTTTTAAAAAAAGCCAACTATCTCTCAGCAGTAGAAAGGATAATGAAATTGTAGTGTATTCATAGGATGTACTGTAGTGTATTCATGGATAACATTCAATGGGATGTTGTACATGGGTGAAAATCAATGAACCACAGGGGGACAAGTCAACACTGATGAAGACTGATGGATCACAAAAATACATTGTTGAACAGAAATAGAAGATATTCAGATTCCATATGCATAAAGTCAAAGACAAACAAAAGTAAAAAAAACACTAATTAGGAATATGTATATATGTGCTGAAATTATAAAGAAAAACAAGGGAACACCTAATATTAAGGAGATTAGTTTCCTCAGGATATGAAAGGAAGGAAAAGGCATAATAGAGTTCTATTCCTTAAGTTTTGTAAGTATTTGTTTCAGTATTATCCTTTAAAATATAGATGGATATGTATATGTATGATATACTATTTTGTATGATTAATATATTAGGACAATATAAATTTTAAAAATAATATGGTAGCAAAATTCCATGAGCTTACGATGAACATCTCTTTTCTGGAGAAAGAGAAGAATGAAAAGATCTTGGAAACCTATGGTTTACAAGGTATCACAACTTCCTAGGGGATGACATGGCTCCAGATCTGTCCTACGGTTTGGGTGTTCTTGGAAATTCTAAAAGGGAAGAATGCCAAGCAATGAACAGCTTGCTGGCAGGTTTGAGTTGTTTTATTC